CAGTTAACTATAGGTTTTTTGAGAAATTCAACAATTGATCGCTGGAGCTCCAATGGCTGGAAACAATTTTTTTTGAAATTTTTACAATATTAATATAACGGTTAACAACTTTTGTAATGTTATTAACAACAGGTTTTCGAGAAATTCAAAAAGTAGTAATTTTACAACTTCAATATTGTTGTTAACAAGTTCTGTAACTCTATTAACAACTTCGGTATAGTATTTCACAACACGTTTTCTTAAAAATTAAAAAAAAAGGCATTTTTACCACTTTAGCAACTACTTTTTTTTTAAAAAATTTTTACAACTTCAGTATAATCGTTAATAACTTTTTGTAATATTATTAACAACTTTAGCATAGCAGTTAACAACAAGTTTTTTAAAAAATTCAAAAAGTACCATTTTAACAACTTCAGTAATGTCGTTAATAAGTTTCATAACTCTATTAACAATTTCGGTATAGCATTTAACAACAAGTTTTTTAAAAATTCAAAAAATGGTATTTTTATAACTTTAACAATTATGTTTTTTATACAATTTTTACAACTTCAATATAACAGCTAACAACTTTTATAACTCTATTAACAACTTAGATATAGTAGTTAACAACAGGTTTTTTAAAAATTCAAAAAGTGGCATTTTTATAATTTCAGTAATACTGTTAACAAACTCAAAACCCTGTTGTTAACCGCTATATTGAAGTTGTTAATAGGGTTACAAAAGTTGTTAACCGTTATATTAAAGTTGTAAAAATTTTCAAAAAAATTGTTTTCCTCCATCAGAGCTTCGGCGACTAATTGTTAAATTTTTCGAAAAATCTATTGTTAACTGATATACTGAAGTTGTTAATAGCGTTACAAGAGTTATTAACGATTATATTGAAGTTGTAAAAATTTTAAAAAAATTGTTTCCAGTCACCGGAGCTTGTTGAATTTTCCAAAAAACTTGTTGTTAATTACTATACTGAAATTGTTAATAACATTACAAAAGTTGTTAACTGTTATACTAAAGTTGTAAAAATTTTCAAAAAATTTTTTTATTGACGAAGCTTCGGTGACTACCGCCGCTGGAGCTTTGGCGACCGGCCAGCCAGTAGGGACTGTGATATTTTAAAAACAATATTTAAAATGAAGAGCAATTTAGTCTTTTTTTTAACATGATAATCCCAATTTGGTCTTTTGAGACCAAATTGAGATTTCTCAACTTCAGCAAACCATTTTGGGATTATGAAGTTCAAGTAGCATTTTTCTGTTTTTTTTTCCTAAAATGAATATTGTTCTGGAGAAAAATATGAATAGGAGTTTGAAGAAGGGGAAGGAACCTCTTTAATTCATTTTAGTTTTGATTTTATTGTTTCATAAGGGTTTAGTATTAATTTAAATCTAGTAATCAAAACCAAAACTTATTAAAAATAAAGAAACCACTCATTAAACTCAAATTATAAAATTATAAAACTATAGTCACCAAACCCAACAATTTAAAATTATAAAGATTAGAGTCAAAATTCGATTAAATAGGGACTGATAATGATATTATTCTTATAATTAATTTAAATTTTAGGAACTATAACAATGGATACATTATTTATACAAAATTAATCTTGGGGATATAGGCCCCAGTAATCCCCTCCCTTCCCTACTAACGATAACAAACAAATTTAGCATAGTTTGTAAGTTCTTAATTCAATTTATCATATTTTGGCCCCAAAAAAAAATCCAATTTATCATAGAAGATTTTGCATTGTTTGCTTTAATTACTGTTGCGTCACTTTTTTTTAAAATTCTTAAGAGTTAGTTTGACTTTTATTTTGATTCTAAATATAAGATTTTAATATATTTTGTCTCTTGTAATTATTCATTTTTTTAAAATAATTCTTGAAGTAGTTGCAAATGTTAAATATTTCATCAAATAATAACTATAATCAATATATTTGATTCGTAAGAATATTTTATGAAAAAACAATACATATTTATTACAAGTAACTAACCTAATTATTTTATTAATTTATTTAAATTAGTCAACTAGCTCTTATATTAATAACCAAGTATAATATTTAGTATTATTAGATTTATAAGGCCTCAACCTCTCTTATGAGGAGGAGTGTCAAGTAAGGGTTGTTTGGAATCCCAGGAGGAGCTTCCAAAATAGTTTTTCAATTATAATTTATAAATGTGAGATAAGTATATGAGAAGAGTTTTATTATAACATGATAATTAGAAGGAAATATATGAGAAAAAAGAAAAGCATAAGTCTCATAAGAAAATAGAGAGAATTGCTATGAAATAAAAAAAATTACTAAAAAGTTTCAATAACAATATAATAGTTTGCAATGCCAGATTTTGAAGTAACAGATAACAATTATTTACTTATCATTAAAACTTAGTGATAATTTTTTAAAAAATCTCATTGTAATTCTCCAAAAAAAAAACACTAGGTGTGGGCCATTTAAAGTTGTAGGATTGCACCAAAGCTTATAGTCTTTTGGTCTTATTTATAGAATAGAGAAAAAAGACATTTTTTAGTTCTATTTATGGGCTAGAGAGAGAAATTTTTTGTATAAGTATATAAATTTACACTTCATTTATTATTGTGTTGATCTTATTTATATGAGAAGTGTAATATATTAAATAAGGATAAAATTAGAAAGTTATTGAATTTTAAATAAAAGTTAATAAAATTTGAGGTTTTTCTTAGTTATAAATAGGACCAGAGGAGTAAATTTTTGCTTATTACGATAGGGGCACTTCTGTCTTTTCCTTTGGAGTCTTGGACTAAGGAGGTGTTTGGGTAGAAACCAAATTATGATTTTAAAAATGATTTTATGGTATATGAAGTAAAAATATAGAAGAGTTTTCCTTGTTGAGAAAATACTTTTTAAAAGTATTTTTGAATATTTCTAATCCCCCCAACGATTCCATAAAGGGGCCGACCCACTCATAATTTTGTATATACACAGAATGAGGGATTATATCATTGATCTAGTTTATAGCTTACTGTTTGGGTATCCCCAAACCGTGGTTTTAGAAGCACTTTCCGTAAAACGAGATAATCTCCTCCACATATTTACTTCGATCCGTAAAGCACTTCTGAAATCATGGTTTGGATTCTATCCAACCTTATTAGAAGTAAAAAGCGCTTTGGTGGGATCTCACAGATAGAAAGACATTGTAATCAATTTGGTAATGATCAAGTGACATTGCTTTTTGGGCCAGAATCAAGAAATCCCTTAAATATGATTTAAAATGAATCTTGTTCTAGAGAAAAATATGAATAGGAGTTTGAAGACGGGGAAGGAACCTCTTTAATTCATTTTTAGTTTTGATTTTATTGTTTCATAAGGGTTTAATATTAATTTAAATCTAGTAATCAAAACCAAAACTTATTAAAAACAAAAAGAAACCACTCATTAAACTCAAATTAAAAAATTATACAACTATAGTCACCAAACCCAACAATTTAAAATTATAAAGATTAGAATCAAAATTCGATTAAATAGGGACTGATAAGATATTATTCTTATAATTAATTTAAATTTTAGGGACTATAACAATGGATACATTATTTATACAAAATTAACCTGGGGATACAGGCCCCAGTAATCCCCTCCCTTCACTACTAACGATGACAAACAGATTTAGCATAGTTTGTAAGTTCTTAATCCAATTTATCATATTTTGGCCCCAAAAAAAATCCAATTTATCATGGAAGATTTTGCATTGTTTGTTTTAATTATTGTTGCGTCACTTTTTTTAAAATATTCTATTATGAGTCGGGTATGTATATTAGCATAATATTTCTGGGTTTAAGTCATAAGATATTTTCAGTAAAAGAATAGAGAATAGTCATTTTTGCGCCCACGAATAGAGAATTAATCATTATATGTTCACTGATGCGCACTTAAAAAATTATATTGGTTCACATCATGGTTTGAAGGAAAAGATTTCCAAATATGTTGTTTTAGAATTTTTAATTGTCATCGTCAACGCATGCTCGATTAAAAAAAATCTTATTCAGTGAAGATCCACGCCGTCCGTTTCACATTTAATTAAGAGGCACAGAGAGGTTCTTTGCTCAAGAAAGCCAGCTAGCTACATAGAAACAATCACAACACTACAATATCGTAGTGGTTGATTGCTCATCAATCTCTATGCTTTTATTGTTTCTTTGAAAACATTTAAAATATCTAAATTTAGAAAAATAACTTACAACTATGATTTATGAATTAACATCTTTTTACAACATCTTAAATGTATAGTTTTAGAGGATTCCAAAATAATTTTGAAGTTTTAATAGGACTAAGGTGCACCTGAAACTATTTTTTTTTCAAGATGTATCCAACACTTTAAAGTATTTTGTGATGTATTACACACTTTATTTTTTCAAATGCATCTAGTACTGTGAATTATTGTTTGGCGCTTCCAGCGTCTTAAAATATTTTTTGAGGTGCATTCAATATTTAAAATATTTTTTGGTGCATTTAACACTAAGGTAAAAACAAAAAAATATTTCAGTCCGCTAAATATACCATTGTATGCACGCAGAAAATAATTGATGCTGGTTGCACCATAATCCTAATGTAAAGTCTGTATTTTAAACTGTGACTGGTATTTTCTTTTAAAAAGACAAATTTCAAATTTGACTGGTTACTTCGGTTGTAAGACAGACACGTTCACATGCAGAATTGCAATTGCTACCTCCACCTAATCAAATTAAAAAGAAGATGCAATCTTGATAAAGAATGACTTGGAATATATGCTTGTCAATCTTTTCATAGTGTTGCCAAAGGCCTACTAGTTTAATGACACCATGGAACCTTCAAATGAGCGGGTTGTGAATTCGACCATATAAGAGTTCAGATATATACTGAAGAGTGGTCAATGAAAGAAGCGTAGAAAATAACAAAGGTTCTTTTTGTGGCTGGTTGGAGAAAAAAAACGGAAAAAAAATGCCATCTTTGTTGACAAATAGAGACCTCGGCTGGTTAAAAACATAGCTTAACAAGTTGGTCCCTCCTCTCTCTCCCCAAGTCGTTTTGATCGAAGAGTTTCATCATCTACGCTGGAACAAGCCAAAAGACTAGCCTCTTTCTCAGGTTCCTCGCTTCTAAGAAGGCGAGGTCAAGATGGTACTCCCATCTCATGGAGATGGAAATGGTGGTGCTTCACTTGATTCTGGCCATGCCCGTCTTCATGAGCTCGGCTACAAACAAGAGCTCAAGCGTGATCTATCGTAAAGTTTTCTCATTCCTCTCTGTGCTGTTGTTGACTTCCAACTCAGTTTTGATCAAGGGTTGGATTCATGGGATGGTTATGGATTACGTTCTGCTTTTCCTTCTTTCTTCTGTCTGGCAATTGCAGGGTCCTTTCAAATTTTGCGTTTTCGTTTTCTATCATATCAGTGCTCACTGGTATCACAACTCTCTACAACAATGGGCTGAACTATGGTGGTCCTGTGTCTGTCGTGTATGGTTGGTTTGTAGCTAGTGCTTTCACCATGTTAGTTGGGTTGTCCATGGCTGAAATTTGCTCATCTTACCCGACTTCGGGTGGGTTATACTACTGGAGTGCCAAACTTGCTGGCCCGGGATGGGCACCTTTTGCCTCCTGGATTACGGCTGGTAATTTCATCTTGATTTCCCGCTTGTTTCTTTGATTTGGCACATATTAATTTAATAATATAGCATTTAGCATATGATTCTCTGACCTTGTTCTTAATGGGAAGGAGAAATCATTAGAATTAAAGGTTTATACGGGACAAGTATATTATGGTTTTTGTTTTGGTACACTATGGCTGTTGAACCTTTGATCTTTACTTAGATACAGCCCTTCCTGCATGAGTTATCATGATGTGCATTCCATAACTACAAGTATTTCGGTAAAGTCAAAAGCTGCAGAACATTTTAATGGTGGGTTAGATTCATTTGAGAAATGTGTAAGGAAATGTCTGAGTGGAATCAAGTTTGCAGAAGGTTTACCTACATCATAATTTAAGGATTTGAGCCCTCGTTTTTCATTCATGCTCCTGTTAAGGAGGACTATGTGGCCTCTTCCTCTTTCGTAGCTTCTAATATTTTCTTCTCTAAATAGGTCACCGCTGTCCTGGATTTTACTGGGAAGCTTTCCTTTTGTTCTTTGTTTCCGTAGTCTGTGTCACTGACGTGGTCATTGAACTCTCTCATCTAATCACATAACTAAGTATTTACTACTTTATTTATTTACCTATTGCTTGTCTCAGTTATTGAATGAAATTATATCAAGTCCCTGAGAAATATTGATCACGATGCTAAATGCTCAAACTACATTGAACTATGGGGAGCAATTGTGTTGAGGCATTGAGAATGAGAACACTACGACCCCTTCTTTTCAAATACGGAAAAGTGAAGTGAAAATTAATGTCCAACTCTAAAATGAAGCTCCGTTACTGAAACTGAGCTAGCCTACA